CCTGAGTATACCCACTCACTCCCCCTCAATCACACAACAATGATTTATAATTCACAATTACAAAAACAATATGAAGAGACACTTCATACACACCTTGATCTTGCTTCACAGCTTTGATCAAGGAACTCACACACTCTTGCTTCACAGCTTTGAGTGAGACACAACTTAGAATCTACCTATCCAATGCAATCATCCACCAGACAATTGCTTGGAGTATAAGTATTCCTAAACAGAATTCACACGTGAAGACTAGCCTTCTTCACTCACAAATATGTCTACCAAAATGTATCAAACGATACAAAGGGTGACTTACACAAGGGACTCTCAAACCATAGACCTCTATTTTTCACTCTGGCTGCTCTTGATGTGAGTGCTTGCTTTCCTCTGCTTCTGCTCCTCCTTTTATAGTAGTGCAGACTGGGCTTAGGCTGGTCACAAGTAACAAACATTAGTTTTAACAAAGCAAAACTAATTTCCACAATTCAAGGATCTTTTAATTAGGTCATAGGATGTTCATGATATGGTCAGCACTGCCTAGAATCTCTCCTGAGATAACTAGGGAACCCTAATAAGCCTGCTGAAATCTAGCCTGAGCTATCTCACGCATTATACCAGAAAACCAACATGCATGCTGTGCACGTCAGCTACCTGATTCATACGCTTGATGTTATGACACTCAGCATGACTTCCACTCTTCTGCAGATTATTCTTTACACCAGACTCGGCTTCACCTAATCTTCTGCATAATAACATTAGAAACAAGTATATTAAAGTTTCCTAAAAGGTCTCGAAGATCCTTTTATGAATACCAATACAATCTGTTCTTGTTCCTAATAAATCTCCTTGACATATTTATTGATGAGGTATTTTCAACATGGTCTCATCAATCTAAACCAATTCTGTCAAGAGATATACACTAGCAGCTCCTTCTATTGTCATGCAGCGATGTCCTGCTTAAGACACATGATAACACACCTCACTTACTACTTGTGAGGAACTTTATCACAACTCAACCTGTTGTGGCTACTGCTAACACATAACAGCTACTGCTGTACTAGACATTGATGTCATGACACTCAACTCCTGCTAGCTCCTTCTACATCCATGACAACAGTTATGTCATCAGCTCCTTCTAGCTCCTTCTGCATCCATGACAGCAGTTCTATCATCAGTTCCTGCTAGCTCTTGCTGCACCAGTAGCGATGTCATGAGTCATCAGCCCCTGCTACACCACTACTCGTGTTGTTTCTCACACATGACAGTAGTTCTGTCATGACAACATATGGATGTCGTGTTAGATGTCACGACATTCAACATGACATTCACATTAAAACACTCCACAACAGTTCTGTCACCACAGCAGATGGAGATGTTTAACATCCTGCTTAATCATTGGTGCAGGATCATGTTTTACCAAAATTTAGCCAATCATAGAACCATGGACAATTCTATATCATAGAACCATGGAACTAATAACAGTGATTCCAGCTCTTCTGAGGAAGATGATTAATGTGGGCTGATAGACTGCTGTGGGGCTCAGTCTGCTGGTTGCTGAGCTAATGTCATGTGCTGCTGGTTTGAGTATTTCATTATTTGTGTTTTTTTTTTGTGACAACAAGAATTGTGTTTGTGATGCTCTCGATGAGCAGTTTGTATATTTTGCCCCTAACAACTGTAATGTTACAATTTTTGATTTATGCTAAGTTCGTAGTTGGATCTTAATTTGTGGCTAAAAAGGGGGAGAGAAAGATAGAGTGATAATAACAGCAGGTGGAAGAACACGTGTTGTGCAGAACATATGAGCTAGCATATGTGCTATTGTGTGCACATGGTATAATCATGCTTGCAGGTGTAACCACAGGGGCAGCTGATGAAATGATGAGATGTGTGATAACAACTACCTAGTGTTGTTAATAATTTGTCGATGCAATATGTGTGTGAATTCCTATGGTGTATAAGAATGTTTGTTAGAACTGAATGGTTGATTATGTGTGTTGCTAACCATGTGTGATCCTAGAAGGTGTTTAGGAGTTAGGTGTGTGTCTGTAGGATAGTAGCAAAGTATGTTGTGCATCTCTTCAGGTGGAGTAGCACAAGTGTGTGTGACTTCAGGATGTCATCCTGAAGGTCATAACATCAAGAGCAGACTGGATGAATATGTGTGACTGCAGACTGTTTGCAGGTTGTGTGCTCAACTGAAAGGATATGCATCAGTTGAGGGGGAGTAACCCAGTGTGTTACTCAGCAAAGTGTGACATTTGTAGTGGTAAACACCAGATGGTTAATAAGGTCAGTTATAACAGTGAGAGCTAACTGTGAGGACTCAGAGAGGCTTAAGCTAGTAACTGTCCTGCATGACAGGACACATCATAAGTCTTCTGTTGTGTGTAAACTCTAATATGTTAACAAGGTGTTTTAGCCAAAAATGTGTGTAAACTCTGATATGTTAACAGAGTGTTTTAGCCAAAATTTTGCCAAAGGGGGAGTTTGTAAGTACTCTTGATTGGCTGCATTTTGTGGCAAAACATTAGAGTTTGCATGTATGTCATACTGAATGTTAAGACATACATAATGATGTGTGTGCAGGGTAAGTTAACTAAGTTAAGCTGAATGTCATACAAAATGTCATGACACTGAATGTATGACATCCAGCGGGCAGGTTAGTTTTTCTGGTATCTAAAAATCAGGAAACGAATCAGAAGCTCAAGCTGGAAATCAGGAAACATTTGATAAGCCCTAAAGCGAAACAAATGCGCCTGAATTAAATGGCAAGTGCGTAGATAATTGAAGAATAGGGTTTGTTATGGATAAACCTAATTTATACACCAAGGCCCAAAGGACTGAATGCTGCTATAAATAACAGAAGAAGCAATCCTAAAAAGTAAGCACTTAACAGAAGATCAGAGAGTGCAGACCAAGAGTCCTTGTGAGTGAAGAAAGTTGTTCTTCACGTGAGAATTGTGAGTGAAGAAAGTGTGTTCTTCACGTGTGTATTGTGTCTTAGGAATACTTGTTCACCAAGCAACTGTATATTGCATTGGTTAGGTAGTTTCTAAGTTGTTGCGCCGCTCAAAGCTTTTAAGCAAGAGTGCGTGTCACTTGATCAAAGCTGTTAAGCAAGATCAAGGTGTGTATGAAGTGTTTCTTCATATTTATTTTGTAATTGTGTACTGATATCACTGTGGTATGATTGAGGGGGAGTGAGGGTATACTCAGGTCTAGAGTGTCTCTAGGCAGAAGTGTCATTGGGTAAGTCTTAAGTGAGGAGTGCAAACTGGTGTGTTTGACTCTGAATTAATTCTGCTGATAGTGAATTTTCTCCCTGGCTTGGTAGCCCCCAGATGTAGGTGTTGTTGACACTGAACTGGGTGAACAATTGCTGTGTTATTTACTGCTTTTACTTACAGCTTAATTAGTTAGTACAGTAGTCAATGTCACAGTGGATGTTATAACTTTGGCAGTAACATCCATCGTGTGCTTGCCAAAATTTCAAAAAGGAAACAAAAAGGAGACTCGATAGGACTTCGTCGTCCTATGCCTACGTATTCCCTCGTGCACTGGAAAAGTTAGAGTCAACGTAGTTCGGAGGGTTACGGGTGAAAGGGGGATTGTGCTCACCAAGATTTCGTCGTCTTGTGCCTACGTATCCTCATTCGGATGAGAATGAGGAAGTTAGAGCAGTTGTAGTTCGACCTACCACAGATTGGTTGGTGTCTTTTATGAACGATGTTAAGCTCATGTTCTAGCAGTTAGGGTCAATGTCTATTTGCGGTAGAACGGAGGTAACGCGCTCTTTCTGAAAAGGTTTAAATGGAAATCCCGGAGGACAACATGATTTGCATTTGTTCAAGGATTATAGAGAAGTGGATTAACTTTGTTTGTGACGTGTATCGTACTAAATTCTATGACATAGGATTAAATACTTCGTGTTAACGATCCAAACGTCTCACGCACAAAGTACCCTGAGATGAGGTTAGAAATGCATCAGCTCATCTTTTCCCATGTGCTTAAGGCTCATGACTCACTTTGCACATCGTCTTTATTAAGTGTTTTACTTGATTTGAGAGAGAAGAAGAAAAAGACTCAAAGGATAAAGAAAAACCTAAGGGAAACTCACTTAGATGTTGTCATGCAAAGTGGTCCTATAGTTAAGGGTGAGAAAATGAATTCTATCATAATGTTATCATGCAAAAGATTAAACATAATTTTTACGAGCCTATCCTGATCCAATTCATCGAAGATACAATTGAATCAGAACCTAAGGGAACATAGAGAAAAAAAATCAGGATTACGTATCAAGATTATTTAACAGTCGTAAAGATTTTCACAAGAACTTGCAAAAACAACAGTCAAAACTAACGTCAAAATCAATTCAAATTAATCAATCGGAAATATAGTTAATTGATCAAAACAATAATCAGAATTCTAACTAACCCGGTGGGATTTCTATTAATCAACTAAAACTTTCATTAATTAGTTAGAATTTTAATTAATCAATTTTTAATTACCATTTTAAGATTAGAGGTTTAAGCAAATATAACAATTAATCCACATTAACTAAAATTAATCAAAATTTAAGTTTGACAACTTGTTGCAAAAAAAAAAAAAAAAGAAGAAAAATAGATCCCAACCAAGTGCCAAATCAAGCTAGGGGTGTAAATCGTACAAGGGAGGTACGAGAAAATGAGGAGTTTGGGCCAAAGGCCCACATGAACTCCAACATGGCAAGGAAAAGGACCAAGAGGTTCATCTGGGGCTGACTTGATCCAACAACAACAACATGTATTCTTCAAAAGAACAAAACATCAACCTCAAGCCATAACACTTTCTCTTTTGTTCAACTCTCTCGCTCAACTCTCTCTCACCTGCGCTTTCCTCCTCTACATGACTCTGACCATCCCTCTTTCTTGCTCTCAATCGTAACCCTCTCTCTCGAAAAAAAATCTTTCCTTAATCCAAATTTTCTCTCGCTCGCAGATCTCACGCACGCTGCTTCGCTCATGGATCGCGGCCGGCAAGGTGGAACTCTGCCACGCCACACACTTCAACCTATACCCATCACATTAGCTTCTAATATCCGCTCTCTCCGCAAATTTAATTCAAGACTTTATGATTCCTCTATGGCAAACGATGATAAAAGCGACAAAAGAAACAAAATCGGGATTGACTTACCTACGACGAAGGCAACTAATCAGATACAAATCTCCTCTTTCTTGATGTTGTGGTGAGTGTATATGATTTTCTTCTCCTCCCTTCTGCAATGTGTAATGTGTACGTATTGTTACTGCTTGTGTTCTCGTCGTCGTGATGTGTGTGTACTGCTTTGCGTACTGCTATGCTGCCCTTCCTATTCCGTTAGCGTATATGATGTTGTATGTGAATGTTTTTTGTTTGTGAAGGATGATAACTGTTGTTGTTCTTTCACTCTGCTTCTTCTACTTTTAGTGTGTGACTTTGTCAATGTTTTCGCAAAACCGTGTGTTTGTGTATGTTGCTTCGGGTTGTTGATGCTCTCTCCTCAAATCGTCCTCTTTTATAGACTTGAGGCATTAAATTTGTGATTTTGAAATTGAACGGGAGATGATTTTTGTGATTCGGATATTGATGAGAGTGAATTAAACCTTACCTTTTTTAGTTTTGGAATTGCTGAAACGTGATTTTCTGCTATGAATGAGTTTATTTGATTTCCTACTAATTTTCATTGATTGTGTGATTGATAAATAGGATTTTCGTTTCCGTTTCACATCGACCCTGTGATTTCTGTCATGAAAATGTTTCCAATTTCTTCTTGTCATGTCTTGATTGTATGGTGAATTCCTTCTATATTGTGATTTTAATGATGAAGACTCAAAGCTTGTCTCTTTTAATTTTGGAAATAAATGTTTGTCTTGCTTGTTTCCAATTCCTTCTTATTCTGTTGAAATTCGATGTACTGTTATGTACAAATAAAAGCACTTTTCATTTTGGTTATTTGAACTGGTACAACATGGATAGGAAACTGACTTGTTGCAAGAAATACTATTACAGGTATGCCAGATTTAGATAAGGTCTCAATTATTGCTCAAAGCAGCCTTCAAAGAGCGATGACCTTCCAAACTTCATGCCTCAGTTCAAAAGAAGGATTTCTTGGAGCTCCCTGTTGTGCATCAACCCGACACATCATTTTTCATTTGGATGGAAGATTCCATGTTGACAAAAACATATCAGACTTGGCATTCGCCAAGCAATTCTTGTTAACAAAATATCTTGTTGTAAACGGAGCAACACCAGCATCCTTGTAATCCCAGTCGCAGTCAGGTATCAAGTCTTGATCTTGGTTTTTAGCAAAGGATTTATCATCAACAAGCATGCTCCAAACAACTTTGCAGAGATATCCGCATAGCACATGAGGGACTTTTGTTCTTCTTCCTCACTGTCAACCTTAGCTGCGCAACTTTCATAAACCAAACGAATTCAATGCTTCTGGAAGACCGAAATGAGAGGCCAACTAGAAAACATAGGCTCCAAATTCCATTAAGGGGATGTAAAGGTCTGGTGCATTTATGTCATATGCCCGTGGTTGACTGGTTTAGTGGTTCTAGTTCAATGAAACTTATGCATAAATGGAACCAAAACCACCTTCAATTTGTTCTTAACATAATGACCATTCACTTGAAAGCAGTATTGGGGAACTACAACAACTTAGGGCAGACAGTTTGGTATTGACATGAATCCATCCAAATTTCTTATATTGTTTAGATGCTATAGTGAGCATGAGTATGTATATGTAGTAGCCATAATATTGCATGTGTCTTTGCAATTAACAATGTTGTTTATGGCGTGTCTGTCGCGTGGGTGATAAATTGATCAAGTGACATATTTCACGTTATCAAGTAGTAAGTCTGGTGTAATTTAGACGTCTTATGCATGTTATTGATATCCAGTATGATGATGGTTCTTGGTTTTGCATTTGGATTTTTTGAATGGATTAAGTTTAAGAGTTTGAATTTGCATTATTGAATTTCTCTCGTACAGTAAATGTCGAAGCTGACATTGAATGGGTATATTTGCAAGTTAAACACCACTTGCATGATACTTGGACGTGTAGTAGCAATTATGAACTTGTGAAATAACACTAGAAGATGGGGCAAGATTTAGAGCTGACTTGTAGATTATATTCTTTTGGAATTTTGTAACAGATCCAATTTTGGCCCTGTAATAGACTTTGGAAACTAAAACTATTATGTGCATTTTATATTCTAAACTTGAATCTTCAATTAAGTTCTCCTATGGTCCAGAAGAAGTAGTCATGATTTATTCAACTCTTGTGTGAACTTCTTCAAGTTCCTTCCTTTTTCGTTTAAATGAATTAAAATGTAAGTACATACTCTTTTCAAGCAACTGCATAGGACATCATGTTCCTCAAACTAACAAGAAATCTCAATGATAACTCTGGTAAAAACAAAGTCTTTGACGGAGAAAACTTAAATCAGGTTAAATCCTTATTTAGTCCATTCCCACTAACCCAAGAGAACTTGGTTGAAAATCAATCATTCTGCCTTGTTATGTATACACCTCTAGTCTTATTTAATAGCTGGTAATCAAAGTGGTGAATGAGACTCTTTGAATCATCACGGGAAAAAGGGGAATAAACCTTATTCCAATAAACCATTGTAAACACCAGAAAATGATCCTCCTCCTAAGAATCTCCATGTTTGAGCTTGAGATCAAATAGGATATCCTGTGCCACCACCAAACATGAATCTCCGCCTTAGACAAAGATCCAATCTATAAAATGACTGGAGAAGAAACTATGAGGAATATGTAAACCAAACTTTAAGGTCCATCTGATAACCATGAGCACACAAGAGCAAACCCTAATTCCTTCATCATGATGACTCTTGATGGAGAGTAGCCTTATGGCTTGCTCAGTAATAAGTTCATGACAATTATAAACTCACAACCCTAATTCCATAATCCATGAAAGAACTAGTTGAATTAATCCTCAGTGAGGTAGAAGCCTCAAATCAATAGAAAAACCTGATTCATCAGAGAGTACTGATCCTATGCCTCAGGATCTCATGCAAATGAATGATTGTGAGCGTGTGACCTAATGAATAATGCATATGTATGTGAAGTAAAAGCCAATTAGGGTTAGATGAAGTGAGGATAAATTTTGGGGTGCAACATGAACTACCTCGCTACAAGTTCGCACAGCGGACTTAGGGTCCTTTAGCTACTGACTTCCAAGGTTTCCTCCTCGCTGGGACCTCGCTTCTATTTCGCCCAACAAACATTCGTTGGCTGCTCGCTACTGTTCGCCCAGTGAACATTACAAAATCTTCACATTTCTTTGGCTTCCTTGTCCAATCTTTTGTGTCTTACTCATTGATGTTTTATGCGTAATTGTTGCACAATAACACACAGATCAAGGAATCCAAAGGTATTTGCAATATAATTGAATAATCACATAAGAACATGAGTTGCATCTATGAAAACATGATAATTAAGTTGAAAAGTGCCAAGAAAGATTGTTCATTTTAAGTCAAAATTTGCACTTAACAAACTCTCTCTAACTAGATTTTTGCTTGTCCTCAAGCAAAGTATGTCCCTCATGAAAACAAGAGAAATTTGCTCAAACAAGAGGATTTGCTCAAGCATAAGATTCAACCAAGAAAAGATTAATGATTCAAATTCAAACAAGAGAAATTTGCTCAAATAAGAGGATTTGGTTAAGCATGAAAATACACACAAACGATGTTCACCACTCAATAGAATCGAACAATGATAAAGAATTTAGTTCTTAAATAAATATCATGCAATGTTTAAAATAACAACTAAATTCTCATACCTGAATCACTCTAACACTCCTCTTCAAAATAAGAATGAAGAAATTAACGTGTTTGCAACCGCGGGGAAATTTCACTCACCTGACAAACAATGCTAATAACAATTTAATTCATACATTTATATAACAATCAAAAATGAAAATATGGAAGTAAAAAGACCACTTAAGGATTTTAAGGTTGTAGCTTGGTTGGGTTTACAACAAAAGGGTCATTTCTAGAGGCCATGAAATCGAAATTGCCAATGCAAAAGAAACATTCACTATACAAAGTATTTACACATCCCAACTTATTTTCACCATCTTCTTTCCTCTATTGCAAACCTTCTCAAACTCCCTTATCCACAATTATTTCATTCTATATTTTTCTCTTTCAAACAAGCATACTTTTTCTTTTGTTTTTCACATTCATATTCACATTTTTTTTCTTTTCATGCTTGCTTGAAATTTTTCAAAATTTTTAGCAACCTACCATTCTTCTTTTTCATTCTCCCCAACTTGAATTCAACCAAACCTCAAGCGAATGTTCCTTGCTTTTTATGGCAATGAAATCAATTTAAAATAATGTTCAAAGGTTCAAGAAGAAATTTTTAGAATCTTACAAAATTCAATGATGAACTAAACTTTTAAATTATGTACATAAACCAAGTTCATCACTAAAATGAGATCTAAACTGTTTAGGCTCAAAGGGGTTAACAAATACTCATTGCTCACTGTTAAGTTACTTTTTGGATACGGTTGTGCTCGATATAAATAAATGCCTTGATCATTTCTAATGCTTCCACAAAATCAGAATAATTAAAAGATAAAGCACGAACCAAACGAATTAAACAAATTTATCAATTATCCTAGCATATAATAAACAATGGAGGTTTCTCACAATTTGTGGCTTTTGATCCTAAGTGAAACAAGCATTCAAACAAGTTGTAAAATGAAACAAGAATACATATTTGCACAAAGCAAAAAATTCTTAAATCATTCTAACATTCTATAAAGGGGTACAATTTACCTTGCTTGCATTCACACACTCAACATCATAGCATCACCATCCAAACTCGGGAGAATCTTCATTGGATACTTTTATACAAATAACAATCAATCTAGAAGGAATTCTCATCATTCATCCCTAAACAACACTTAAGAAAACCTAAAAGAAAACAAGAATATATACAATTGTACAAAGGCCAAAAATATAGAAACTATTGCAATTCACTTCAATATCTAAACATCAATCTCCGACAACGGTGTCATTTTGTTCGAACTGCAGTAAAGCGGAAAAAAGCAAAAATTTAGTTTTGAAGGAATTCTCTCTGGGGTTTATATCGTCTCCACAGGGATCGTTGCAAGGGAAAGAGTTACCGTTCAACGGTCTCTACATTTCTAAACTTATGGTGCAAAAGTTTTGGTTAAACGGTTTAAGAAACCAAAAATAAAGGCATAAAATATAAAGATGGAAAATATAAAGTAAATTGAATCTCATCAATTGATAACACATGCATTCTTCTAATCATGTTATACACAAATTAAACTTTCGTCTAATATCTTCATGTATTACCCACAACAGAGGTTATGTCTAACATAAAGTCGAGAGGCTAATCATATTGTCTCATCGGTGATATCTCACGCAAAAAAAACAACATAGAGCATTAACAACTGATACTCACATGAATGTTAAACCTAAATCTATGTTTAGAGTTTAGACCTGACAGATATTACTATAACATCCATATCAAACTAATGATTTGATTCATATATAACGTCATGATCATAATACGTACACATGATTAACCATTTTTACATGTATTCATCTAATTTTCCAAATGTATGTGAACAAGTTTCTCATATCTATTATCACGTATCCTCACAATATTATCTGTGTTAAGAACGTTATCATGGTCTCTACCGTGTTGATCCTACTCATGCTACTCAGGTTACTAATTGACACAATATGATGCAAATGAATATCAACTTACAAAACTATGTCAAGAGTTTGCTCATTGATAGATGACAATCTAAGACCAAAGATTTGAAAAGAGTTTTGTCAAGACCCCCAAATAAGCAATTAAAGACGATAAACAATATTGAATCAAAACTAGTTCACAAACATACATTAGATGAAATACATAAGGTATCAAAAGATTACATCCACATCTAACAAGAGATTGAAGATTTTACCTTCTCCATCTTAGGATTTTTGTTTCGCTCTCTAGAATATACTTGGA